TGGTGAATATGTGTACATGTGAGTGTGTATCGTGTATGTGAGTGTGTGAATGAATGAGTTGTGTGTGTGTAGGTGTGTGTGTGTGTGACTGAACGAGTTGTGCATGTATTGTATATGTGTGTGAGTATGTGTAGGTGTGTGTGTGAGAGTGCATGGTGAGTGTGTATGTGAGTGTGTATCGTGTAGGTAAGTGTGTGAATGAGTTGTGTGGGTTTGTGTAGGTGTGTGTGAGTGTGTGAATGAACGAGTTGTGTATGTGTATATGTGTGTGAGTGTGTGTAGGTGTGTGTGAGTGCATGGTGAGTGTATGTGCATGTGAGTGTGCACAGTATGAGTGTGTGAATGAATGAGTTGTGTGAGTATGTGTAAGTGTGTGTGTGTGTAGGTGTGAGTGTGTTGAGGAGCCAGACAGGATGAGGTCAGTGAGGAGCAGGATGGCAAGAACTGGTTCCGGGTGGCAGGTGGGTCTGGGCCCGTCAGAATAGCTGCTGAGGGGCAGTGAAAGGCCATGTGGTCAGGGCTGGGAAATGGGGCACTTCCCAAATCTTGGTCCTCAGGAGGGAGCCCTGGCAGTGGGCAGCCATGGAGGCACCTGTTCCTTCTGCCCCACCAGGCCTTCTCCAATGTCTGCTGCTCCCGTGACCCCACTCCTGGCCACCCTTTCCTGGGTGAGGGTAGGAGCCCAAAGGCGAGGTGTGGAAGCCCCCAGACATGTTCCATGGTCACAGGGCAGCTCTGAGGTCTCCCATCACAGGGCAGTACAGCAGGTCTGGGCCCCAAGGGGACCACGGGTCCCCTGCTGGCCTGCCATTTGCTGGAGGTCTCTGGGCCCATCCTACCTTCTCAGCCTGGCTCAGGCCGACCGCTGCTGGAACGCCTTCCCCGCTCCCGGAGGTGGGTCAGTGCCTTCCTGCAGGTCTCCCCGGCACCCCTGGCAGCCCCCAGCCTCTCTCCCTGCCTGGCCTGCCTACCCTGCTCTTGGTACCACAGCTGTATGATCCCCCATCTGGTCCCTTACAAATGTGTTTTTGTTCCATCTGTTCCATATTGCTGCTTAAAACGTTTATTGTTTTAGGTTAAAAAGTTTAACTTTTTGGAAGTTTGTTTCAAGCATACAGAAAAGTTACAACAATAAGACTGGTGCAAAGAACACCTGTCCAGCCTTGACCCCAAACTGCCTCGCGGCCCAGGGGACACCACCGTGTGCTTTGCAGTCCGCGTGCACGCTGGCTCTCCTGGTTCTCGCTGTCTCTCTCTAATCTGTTTCTCTTTCCGTGTGTTTCTGTTTGTCCATCTGTCATCCGAACAAACGACTGTCTATCTATCTAGCCATCCATCTACTCTATCTGATCTTCTGTCTCCCGGTCTCTCTCTCTCTGCCCCCTCCGTCCCCATCTCCCTTTGAAATAAGATACATTGTAACCATGTCCTTTCTTCTCAAGGCTTCTCGGTGTTTGCTACAAACAGAGGCGTTATCTTGCATCAGAAGGGCCCATGATGAACGTCAGTGCAGTCAGGCTGAGGCTGGCCTTCTCTCTGATCCCTGCCCGTGTCCTTGTGCCCTCTCCTATCTTTGGGTTGTTTTTCTGTTCATGTCCTTTCTCCTTGGCATGCCAAGACACTGGCTCACCATGCGTCCCTGCCTTGGACCCGCCATGTCTCCGGCCGGGGAGCCCTGGTTAGAGACTGGGAGCCTGGAGCTGTGTGCTCAGTGCTCCCAGGTGCATCTCGGGCCTGTGAGGACCCGCTGGGGCACGGATGCGCCAACATAGCCACATACACACGCAAACACACAGAGGTACATGGCATGTGCCCTGGGCACACGATGGCCTTGCCCGTTTCAAACTCTGCCTTCTTGTGCTGCAGCAGCTAAGGGCTTCAGGGCTGTCATCCATGGCCACAACCCCAGCCAGGGTCGCTGGACACTTCTCTTGCCCACGTCCCTCTCCCTGGCCACAGCCTCATCCATAGACCACTTCTGAGCACCACCCACTGGGGTCCCTGCCCAGCTGCTGCTCAGGCCTTGGGTGTGGCCACCCCTTCTCTCCTCAGCCCATGGCTCTGGCACCCAGATCTCTCACTTCCTGGGTGCTCAGACCCTCCGCTGGGCTCCAGATCCACATACCAGTGCCAACATCGCCTCCCTTCATACCCCAGCTTCAGAGCAAGCCTCTCACTGCCACCCCACTGGGCCCCCACCCTGTAGATTTGTGCCCCACTGCCCACCTGTCCCACCTCAGCAAGTTCCTGGACTCATCTGTCAACCTCAGCCCTCAACTCCTTGGCCTCCCATAACCTGCTCCTCCAGGAGATCAACTTCCATCTTCTCTCCACGTCCCGTCTGGCCTCCTCGCTTCCTGTTCTCCACCCACAGGCACGTGTGTTGCAGGTGGACCTGGCAAGGACAGGCAGTGTTCCTGAGCCCCGGCTATCCACCACCTTTGGGGCTGCAGGCCTCACATACGCCACCCGCTGGGCCCTCATGGCCGTTGTGTGGGCAGCAGGACCTGAGGCCAAGAAGGCCAGCTTCCCAACGGCAGGCCAGGGCTCACCCGGAGAGAGGCAGGCATGGGGTCTGGGGGGCCTAGGTCCAGGAGAGTGGACGTTTGGACTTTGTTTTTGTGACATGGCCTCTTGGCCTTCACTCATTCACTCACTCATTCACTCATGCACTGACTACGGTCGCTAGAGATGCTCATGCTGTACTTGTCTCTTCACATGGCCCTCTTTGACCTCATTCATTTATTTGCTGACCAACACCATCAAGAAACCAAGCCAAACTCACTGCCATCCAGTGGATTTGACTCCTAATGACCCCTCCTTGGGTTGCCGAGGAGGTATCACTACGGAAGTAGATGGCTCAACCTTCCTTCCGAGAAGTGGCTGATGAGTTTGAACCACCAGCCTTCTGGTTAGCAGTCAAATGTCTTAGGCACTGAGCCACCAGAGCTCCCCAAATACCATAAATCCATGGCCTAACCCCAGAATCACAACTTGCCCCAAATCTACATCCCCTCAGCTGCTCCCAACCACCCTGCCCTGATCCCAGGAGATCATGCTCTGAAATTTCACATCTGGGGTGGCCTTGCCTCTTTTTGGAATTCAGTTCTTCCAATGTGTGGCTTCCACTGAGCCTGGAGGGCTGAGCCCCTGTTGGAGTCGTGCCCTGTCTCCCCTGCCCTCACCATCCACCCATTCACTTGGCATCCCTTCCAGTGGGCACACCCCGTTCCCTTTGCCAGGTCTCTGCAGCCCCCAGCCCACTGAAACCCACTCCCGAGTTCCCTGCCGGCCCGTCACTCTTGGCTCTGCAGGCTGCTGCCTTTGCCTAGGGCGTTCCAGAGCCCCTGACACGCCGCCTCCCCTGTACTTAGCCTCCTCCTTTGGGCCTCACTGAAGACTTCATTGTCCACAGACCCACCCCAGGATGGCTGGGGCCCCACTTCCCTGCCCCATGAGCCCCTAAACTGCATTCACGTGTCTCTTCTTGGCCCAGCGTCCCCACTCCCCAACACAGCCCCATGGCCCGGCTGAGCCAGCCAGCTTGAGCTTGAGGGAGGGGTCCAGCCCCCATTTTTGCCTCTGCCGGAGCCTGGCCTTCTTCAGAGGAGCCAAAGGGCGGCCAAGACACCAGGCAGCAGGCCTGGGCAGGGGGCTCACATGGCCGGGGCCAAAGCTGTGGGGTCCCCAGGCCAGAGGGCCTGGCAGGAGAACAATCAAAGAAGCCAAGGCTGAACCCCAGGGCTGGGGGAGGGGGTGGTACATCGTGAAGGTCACCCTGGAGCTGCTGACGTCTGTCCCCCATGACAGCCCCAAGGCTGGGCCCCAGCTGCCCTCCAGGGGCAAGGGCAAGGCAGTCAGCTGACAGCCACTCCATCATGGGGCCCCGGGGCCAGCATCCCCCACAGATCTGAGCCGGGGACCTTGGCAGGCACGAGGATTTATGATGTTTATGGTTTCACCCTCCCCGGAAGGGGGTCAACATTACAACCTTGCCAGGGACGCTCCCTGTCCAGGCCTGTTGGGGACAGTGTCCCCTGACATGCAAGATGAGGCCTTGGTGCTGAGCGGAAACCAGACGCAATCCCCCCTCCACAGGGCCTGGGGCCAGGGCCAGGTTGGGCCCGTCATCCACGCCCAGGCCTGCAGTGCTGACCCCCGCCCGGGTGGGCTCTGCTCCAGGTGTGCCCCCTCCCAGCTGGAGGCTGAGTGACTCAGGACTTCCCTGATGTACCCATGGAGGCTCTGGGGTCTGAGGCCTGTTCTGTGTCCTTGCCCAGCCCGGGCCTAGGTTTCCCCGTGGGCAGCTCGGACGAGACACTGCCTGCTTAGGCCCCACCGTGCAGGCTCAGTGCCCAGCCCCTCGCCATGTCACAGGCCTCAATGTCCAGGCCAGGGGCAGACGTGGAACATGGGGGACCCAGGGACTAGGGGTGCAAATAGGACAGCCCCAGAGGTGACTTGAGAGGAGGTGAGCAGAAGAGGGAGGCGGGCACTGAGGACAACAGCCTGGGGTTCTGTGGCTCCTGCAGGGGGTGTAGCCTGGGGGCAAGGTCAGCCCTGTTCACAGGCATTGTGGGTACGCTTGCCCTGTCCTCCAGGATCAGCTCTCAGAAAGGCTGGAGTCAGATGCTTCTGGGAGCCCTGCCCAGGGAAAGTGGCCCCTCACCTAGGCCCTGCGGTCATCACAGGTGCCTGGGAACCTCCCCTGGAGCCAGCCAGCAGGCTCTGTGGGCTCCACCAGCTAGACCGGCCTCCTGCCCCACCCCAGCCCTGGAATTGTCCGCATTTCCCCACCACACTGTCACCAAAGGCAGCACTGGGAGGTGACTACCCAGCCCACCGGTGGGCAGTGGGTGAGGTCGCCCACAGCAGGTGGCCAGCAGCCTGAGGGCAGTGACTCGGGCACACAGACCAGACAGTCTCAGGGACTCCCAGCCTTTATTGACTGCTGAGACGGGCCTGGCTGCCTGGGCCCTGTGGGCGGCCTTGCTGGTGCCTGGCCTAGGACTCGGTCTCGAACATCTTCTTCCGTCCCTCCATGCCTGACTTCTCCTCAATGTTCTTCCGCCAGTCGCCCACGTCGCGCAGGTCCCGCTCCTGGGGCGGGGGGACAGGCTCAGGTCCAGCACAGGGGCTTGGGCCCTGCAGGCTGGGGCCGGGCCGCCCGCCCTGTGCCCGGGGCAGAGAGGCCGTGGCCGTGTGGCCCCAGGCCATACCTTCTCGGTGTCTTCTTTCTTCACTTGCTTGAGGTTGGCCCTCAGGTCCATGCACACTTTGTGCTTGGAGCCCAGCAGGGCCTTGAGCATGGCGTCAGCTGACATGCGCACACGGCGTAGCGGGGGCCGCTTGAACTTGCCTCTCAGGTCAAACAGCTTCTGGTTCATGTCCTCTAGCTAGAGGGGGGGGGTGGTGAGCACTTGGGGTGCTGGACCCTGCCAATCCCCACCACCTTGCCCCCTGGCCTCCCACCGTGCCCACCTGTCCCTGCGTGTGGCACCCCGGCCCTCACCTCCTTGCTGCTCTTCTGCACCTTGATCTCCATGTCGTATTTCTCCTCCTCGGCCGCATCCACCTTGGCATGCAACTGCTTGCAGAGCTCCTGGGGGCGGGGGGCGCTGGGGCTCAGCGTGCCGACCCCCACCGGCCACTGGCCCACTCGCTCTCTGCCCCGCCCTCCATCCGCAGAACACCCCTGCCAGGTTCTGCCCACCTGACAGGCGGGAAACCGAGGCAGCCGGTACCTGCACTTCAGCCATGGAGCCGGGGATGTGCAGAGGTGGGCAGTGCTCGTCCAGGTACGCCTGCTTCTCCGACTCGCGGCGGGCCTCCTCCTTCTCCAGCTCCGTGGCAGCGATTTGCAGCATGACGCTCTGCGCACACAGGCGGGTGAGGGGCTGCAACCGCCACAGGCCCCATCCCCACAGACCTGCTGCCCTCTCCAGACCCCAGCGTCCCCTCCAGACCCCAGTACTCACTACCTAGACTGCCGCCACCCCCGCGTGGACCCCTGCACCCCCACGCGGACCCCCGCCGACCAACAGACCCCGCTGCACTCGAGCCACTGGTACCTTCAGGTGCTGCCTCCGGGCCGTGATGGCCCTGTTACGTTTCTGCGGGACAGGAGACAGGGTCGGGTGAGGGTGGCTGATGCCCAGCATCCCCTATCCCCACGGCCCCCACTAGGCCAAGGGGCTCTGAGCAGGGGGTCTCCCAAAACGGAGCACAGTAGGGACGGCATTGTGCCTGGAGGTTGTCCTGTCCCTGAAGGCGCCGGCAGAGAACAGACGGCCCCGCAGTGTGTGTGGGGGGGGGTCAGAAAGGAGAAGTCCCTGCCCACTCCAGCCCCTGGGAGCGGGCCCCAGCCCACTTCCCCTGCCTGTCAGGCCCCCGGCAGCACTTCCTCTGTAGTCAGTGTCTTGGGGGCGTGGAGGGGAGCACGTTCATCTCAAGGGAGGGCTATGTTGGGCATCTCTCCTGGGCCTGGAACCTCTGACCTCCCCTTAGTGGGGGTCCATCCTCTCCATGTGTCAACCCCCCAGGTACTCACCTCCTCACTGTCCCGGGGCAGAAGGGGGGAGGAGGGAGAGAGAAGAGAGAGGTCAGAGTCATGGTCCATGAGGAGCAGGGCTGGGGCAGTGGGGAAGGGCCAGGAGGGGTGTAGTGGGCAGGGGCGGTGACTGGGGGCATGCAGGTGAGAGCAGGTGACAGTAGGCCCTGCTGGGGCCACTTACTCCCCCATCCTGAAGTCCGGAGCTTAGAGCCTGTGGGAGGGAAAGGCAGGGCTCAGGTCCTGCCCCAGAGGCAGCAAGATGCGCGCCGCAGCACCCACCCACCTCCTGCCTCCCGCCTCCTTGGAAGGATCTGTCGTCTTGGAATTCCCCAGGGTGGGGGTTAGAGGAGAGAGTGTCCCAGAGCGCCCAGGGTGGGGCCCAGAGGAACTGCAGCTGTCCCCAGGGGAGGGGCAGTCTCCGATGGGCCAGCGCAGGTGGCCAGGCCACAGGGCTATTTTTAACCCTGCTCCTTTGGCTTCGGGCTGAAGTGCATGTCAACTGCTCCGCAGCTTGGTTTGGGTGTAGTTCCTGGGGTCCCTTGACCCGAAAACTCTCGCTGGGGTGCCCCCAAAAGGGAGGCCCGGGCATCAGGGGCTGTCCTGGAGCCCCGCCCCACCCCAGCTGATGTCCCCATGTCTCTGTCTCCTTCATGTGCTCAGTTCCAAAGGAGCTCCCAGGGAGGGCTTCTAGCATCGGTTCCCCCGGGCCCTGGCTCCCGGCCCCCACCCAGCAAGCCCTCCTTGGAGTCTGCTGAGCCCCGGCCCCAGGGGCAACGGGGGCCTCACCTAGCGTCTGTGTGGCTGTGCAGAGCGGTCAGCCGGCGGCCAGTTGGGCTGGTGGGCCGTGGGAGGGGTATAAATGGCCTGCCCAGGGCTGGGCCCCCGCTCAGTAAGGGCATGGAGCCCTCTCAGACCAATGGGGGCCCAGGGAGCCAGCTGGGGGTTCCCACCTGCCCAGCCTGAGCGCGTGCCGCCGCCTTGTCCAAGAAGTCTTGGGGGGGTGCCCCCGTCGGGCTGCTCTATTTAGGGCTTGGTGACGAGTTGGAGGAAGCTGCCCTGGTCTTGCAAGGAGCTTGAGGACAGTGGCACGTGGCCCTGCTGGCTGGCGTGGGGGGTAGGGCTGGACCCAGATGCGCCCATCGAGCCCGACTCCGAACCCAGCCATGCTCCTGGCTCCACCCTGGTCCACTGCAGCCCCATCACCGCTGCTGGGTGCACGGGGCAGCCCCTCTTCTGCTGCTGGGGCTCCCCATCTTGCCCCTGGAATCAACTGGGCCCCATTTCAACCCAGGGGGAGGATGGTATCAAGGCCCAGCCAGCTCCATCTGTGTCTTCTAAGCCCAGACCCCAGGTGAGGCCTCAGGGGTCCTGCTGCCTGGGCCAGGCGGAGGCCTGCCCTGCTCCCAACGCCCGGCCCGGAGGCCTTTCACCTGGGGGATGCGGAACGTGTCTCAAGCACGGGGCACGCCCTGGGAGCCTCTCCCCAACCCACAGGTGCTGCCCCTGCCTGCCTGGGCCAGCCGGGTGCTGCCCTTCTCACCGGGCCCCAGGCCCAGCCCCAGCCACTGTGACTTGGCACCTCTTGGGTGGGGGTACAAGAAGGATGAGAGGAGACTGGCTTCTGGAGGCTTCGCTGAAGGCCAGATGTGTGGGATTGGGAGGCACTCCATCGGGGCTGCACCCCAAAGGCCGGGCTGCTTGCAAAGGTGTCTGCTGCCCCCTGCTGCTCACACAGGAAGCTCTGCCGGCTGCCGCAGGTGTCAGGTTGGAGTGGGCCCTCCTTCCACTGCCACCCTCAAAGGCCTCCCTGCTGTCCCTGTAAGTGTCCCCAGGGGGTGGCGCCCCACCTCTTTCCCAGCCGCTGCCACCCCCTCCCCCTGCCTGATGCCCCCTCCCCACCTCTTCCCATGTGTCCTTGAGCAGCACAGACCACAGGGAGCACCCCTCCCCCAGGCCCTCGGGGGAGACCCCCAGCTCAGGCCCCGGTCAGCACCCCCGGCCCTGGAGGGGCTGTGGCTCAGAGGTCCCCACTCAGGAAGGGCACTCAGTGGCTGGAGGAGACGTTTATTGCAAGTGGTCCCTCTAGGCAGCCCGGAGAATCTGAGGCACAGGGACACTCTCGGGAGCACGGCGACAAGAGCCAGCGCAGGCAGGGCTGCAGGACCAGGGCCGGGTCCACCCCCTGGCGGCTCGAAGGTGGTGCCACTGGGCGACGGGCTGCTGGGGGTGGGCCAGCATGTCGGCCCAGTGCTGCAGGGGCTGGCCAGAAGCCTGGACACCACGCAGCCCCCACTCCACCAGCCTGGAGCTGTGGGCCTCGGGCCCAGACGGCTGGCACCAGGTCCACGCTCTGGCCAGCGGGAGAGGCAGACAGCAGTCAGCATGGTTTCTGTGAGCCCTAGCAGCCCCCTCCTTCAGAGGCCCACCTGGATCTGGCTGAAGGGTACGTGGAAAGCGAAGGCCTCGTTGAAATGGGGGTGGCCTTGCCCTTGCGCCCAGATGTGCTCCACTTCTTCCATTTCCTCTCGTGTAGCACGAACTGGACCTTCACATCAGGCTCTGGGTGCACAGACGGGCCGGAGCAGCCCCGGGGTGAGGCCCGGCACAGGGCACCAGCCTCTGCCCTCCCCGTGTGCGCCACCAGCGTGAGCTCACCTGCCAGCCCTGGGGCCAGGCCTTGAGCCTCCAGCACCACCACGGTCAGCTGGCCAGAGCCAGGCACATACCACCGAGAGCAGTACAGCTCCCCCACCGTCTGCTTGAACTGAGTCAGAGAAGCGGACCTCAGCCCAGGCCAGGGCCCTTCGGAGGGCGGGCTGGACCCTCAAGCACACAGGTCCCTTGGCCCTCATGATTCAGGGTCCCTGTTGGCACATGTGGACCACTGCCAGCTGTGCCTCGGGCCTCAGTGGCCTCACCTGGGCCGTGCTGGGTGGACCGAGCTCATGCCAGAGCTCCAGGATGTGCTGCAGGTCCACGGTGGCTAGCGGCAGGTGCAGCCCCCCGAGCGGACTTGCGCACACAGGGTGGCCGGAGGCAGCCCAGATTGCCAGACCCGGGGAGACAGGGCCCAGGCCCACCCCGCTGGCCCAGACCCACCTGGAAGTGGTAGGTCTCAAACGTGGGGCTGAGCATGTCCCAGTGCACATTGGTCTCAGGTCTGTGCCCGGCCTGGGTGGAGACGCTAAGGCCGGCAGAGGGGTGGGCCTTGCCGCTGGGCTCTGGAGCTCTGAGGTCAGCTGCCTGCTTCAGGCCCACGCTGATGTGGGAGGCAGCACTTCAACTCAGCCCAGGTGGCCCTGGTTTGGCCTTCACCCTGCCCACCCACCCCACAAAGTGGGTGAACCTTCAAGGCCTAGGCAGGGGGCAGCCCCTCACCTCCTCACTCCCGAAGTCATACTCGAGGGACAGCAGCAGGCACCCCCAGTGCTGACGGCCCCCCAGGCTACCCGCCAGGTCATCCACATCTGGCTGTACCTGGTGGTCAGCAGGACAGGGGTGGCAGGTGCTGCTGAGGCCCCTCCAGTCGGAGCCCTGGGCATCCCAGCAGCAGTGCCCCAGCCTGGGTCAGCAGTACCGTTGGCATCTGTCACGCCACTGTCTTCCTCAAGAACCTGCTGTGGCCCTCGATGGCCGAGGACCAACTCCTGGGCCGGCCTGAAGGCCTGTCAACAGCCTCTGCTCCCGCCTCCTGCTGCCCCCCATTTCTGCTGCCGTCCCCTCACCTTCCTCCCATCTGTGTTCCTCCATGAAGACCCCTACTCCTGCCTTCCCTGTGTGTCCAACCCTCAATGGGGGCAGAGCTCACTCCGGCTGCCCTCGGAAGACTCCAGAGGGTCACACTGTCCAGGTGGCTCCCTGGGGCCGTCCGGCCCAGAGCTGGGGGCAAGGTGGGTGGCAGTGGTTCCACAGGTGCTGCCCAGGCCCACAGCCTCCTAGTCCCTGGGCTTCCTGCCATGGTGGTGGCGGCAGCGGCAGCACCAACCCCAGGTAGACATCAGGATGCCAGTGGCCACAGCATGGCAATGGTGCCCAGTGGGGCTCTGGGGGCACAGAGAGAGGCCAGGTACTCCTCTGGACAGCCTGCCTCCAAGGCCGGGCCATCCCCCTGCCCCTCTCGGGGTCCCACAACTCACAGGGCATCCTGGCGACAGGGTCTGGAGTGAGCCTGGGCAGCGCTCTGGTGCCAGGTGCAGCCGGGGCCTTGCGGGGATCTGGGGGGTGTGCTGCCCCCAGCCCTGCTGGCTTGGAATCTCCCTCTAGGGAGAGTGGGTCGCTTGGTGGGGTGGCCCCTCGGAGCCCTGCCTGTTGCCCCATTTGTCCAGCAGCCACTGCTGTGTTGGGTCTGCCTGGGCAAGGAGGCGGCCCCAAGTGGCCAGGGCCCAGGGCTCTGAGCAGAAGCCAGAGCGAGGGAGGCTCTGGGCTCTGGCCAAAGCTCAGGCTTAGCTGCCATAAGCCCGGCCTCCTGGCCACCCCTGCCAGCCCCCAGCCCCAGCCCAGGAGGCCAGGCCTGGCAGCCTGTCTTCACTGGTCCTCCACTGCTGCACCCTCCCCCTCCCTCCCTCCCTGCATCCTTAGGTAGCCCTGCAGGGCCACTGCCTGAGCCTCCTCCTCCAGGAAGCCCCCCCCCCGCCCACCGCCCTCTCCACCGGCCCCTGCTCAGCCCACAGTCGAGGGAGCCTCTCCTTCCTGTCCCCCTGGGTCTGCCACCATTTGCAGTCACACAGGAGGAGCACGTTCAGTGTGGCCCAGGGCCCAGGGGTTATTTGGCTTCATAGGGAGCAAGTCTCTGAAGGGTCATGGGGGGAGTTGATGGGCAAAAGAGGGGACTGGCACGGGTGGAAGGCCGTTCTGGCAAGCCCGAGCTAAAGGCACACCCCGACACGGGTGGGCACAGGGCCAGCAGTGCCTGGGGACGAGGGCGGGGTGAGGGCAGGCAGGGGCAGGGTGCGGCCAGAACATTCCGGCCGAGCCGAGTCAGCCGCCCAGACTCGCCCACCTGACTGCTCAGCCACCCTCTGTCCTGTGGGTGGGGACAGGGAGGGGGTGGCTTGGCCTGCCTGGCCCCTGAGCCCTACCTGCCTGGGGCCTGGGACGGGAGCACACCTGGCCGGCCCGTCCCCAGTCAGGGATGCCAAGGCTCCAAGGAGGAGCTGCCCGAGACCCCTGGCCCACAGGCCCCGCCCTCTCCTCTCTCCACCACCAGGTAGCAGCTGAAATCACGGCTCATCTGGGGCTGCCCCCACTTTGCCCAAGAACCCTCACCATCTGCAAGCCTCCCTGTCCCTAGGGCCAGCTCAGGCCAGCCCCCTGCAGCCTCACAGGCCCAGTCCCCCTCGCCTCTGCCCCCCACAGCCTGGCCCTGCAGATATGGGGCAGAGAACTCCAGAGACGGCCCCCCGCACACGGCATCATCACCCCACTCCCCAAACCGCGGCAGCAGGGAGCTCAGACAGGAGGAGTGCACGGGCTCTGCAAACCCACAGGCCGGCCCTGACTCTGTCCACCCCTGGGGCCGTCACTGACACAAATGGTCCCTGTGGAGTCCGGGTGATGGTCTCCTTTTCAAGGGTAAGGAAACCCAGGCCTGGGTCCCCGGGCGGTGCCAACGGCTGCTAACTGAAAGGCTGGAGGCTTGAGCCAGCCAGAGGCACGTCAGAAGAAAGGCCTGGTGACCCTGCTCCGAAACTCCGTGGCTGAGACCCTGTGGGGCACAGCTCGGCTCTGACACGGGCAGGGCGCCCATGTGTGGAAGCCGACTCCAGGGCACTTGGTTTCTAAAGCGAGACCCTGAGATTGGCCCAGACCTGGTTGTTACTGACAGAGAAAGGGTGTGTGAGGGCAGGCCTGCTTCTCTGGGGACCTGGGTCCAGGGCCGCACTCAGGGCACCCCAAGCTTGGTTCTGTGCTGCAAAATCCCAAGCAAGTTTGCAACAAGCACCCAGTTTTGCTTTGCTCCAGGCCTCCCAAACTCTGGAGCCCGTCCTACTGGGTGACAGGCTGCATCGGCCCTGAGGATGAGGCCCGGGTGGGCCACCCTCCCCCTGTGTGTCCCCCTAAGGATATTGCAGAAGCAGGCCCCGCATCCCGCACCGCTCCGGCAGAGCACCCCTAGTGGCCGCTGTTGGAAGCACCGCCGCACCGAGAGCCCGCGGGTCTGCGGGGTGCCCAGGCAGATTAAACACGTGCAGGTCCCTCTCCCGTTTAATCCACTTAACTCCATTAACTCACGTTTGACTATCTGGAATGTCAAAGCTTACTTGTGTCCGGAAACTGCGACAGCTTCCTTCGAGGTTATGGTTCGGAATTTGGGCTCCATTACCTGGCCTGGGTCTGCGCGTGCGCGTGCACCTAGCTCGGTGGCCCTGCGCAGCCGCCGTCCTCAATCTTGGTTTTAGTCTAAGACCAGAGCGCCCTGAGTCACGGACAGTATTTGGGGCCGCTGGTCCAGCCAGGGGGATGCCATCCCACTGGACTGCAGGGTCACCTGGAAGCCACACCGGAAGGGTCCCAGGACCCGGGGATGCAGGCACCAGTGTGGGATCCGGGGTGGCTGGGGAGGCACAGGGTCCCTCTGGCCCGCCAGGTCCCCACGGTGGTGAAGGTTCCGGCGGCCATGCAGCCGCCAGGTGGCGCCACCCTCCCTGGAGCCATCCAGCCTCCAGGCTTCTCCGGAAAGGGCCGTGAGCTCAGGCAGGACGAACAGCCTGCGGTCACCGCTGAGCCCAGGCGGGACACAGAGCCTGTGGCCACCACTCCCAGACCTGGGGAGAGACTGCGTGCCCCTTCAGTACTTCTCTCACCCCACCTTGCTGGGGCTGTCTCCTGGAGCGCCTTTCCCAGCACAGTGGACTCCTTAAAAACCAAACTCACTGCCAGCAAGTCCATTTTGACTCATAGCGACCCCTCTGGGTTTACCAGGCGTAAATCTTTACGGAAGTAGATTGCCCAGTCTTCCTTCCTCCGAGAGGCGGGTGTTTTTGAACAGCCAGTCTTCTGGTTAGCAGCGAAATGCCTTAGGCACTACAAGGGCAGGAAGTCCTGCGCACTGTCTGACTTTGGTTTTCCAGCTCCGGTGGCTTGGAGGAGAGCCCTCTGTGGATGCTGAGGCCAGTTGTGCCCTGTGGAGGCCCAGGCACCCCTCGAGGCACCACCTGCCTCTCTGGTCTCTCCTGGCTGGGACAGCCTCCTCGATGCCCCCTGGCACCAGCCAGGCCATGCTCTGTTTGCTGGTTCCTTTCCTAACACACACCCTCCTTTCCCCGTTATGCGCACCTTTTAGGGCCTGCCTCAGGCCCATCTCTTCCAGGAAGCCCTCCCTAGTGCTCCAGGCCCTAGTCCCACAGTTTTGTGCAGGGCTCCACCCATGTGTCCTCCCCCGGTGGGATCCCAGCTCCCACAGGGGAGAATGGAGGCTGGCTCCTCACCTTCAGCCTTCCTTACCAGTTCAGGGCTCGGGGCTTATTAAAGACTTGCTAGTTTGTCCTTCCTTGGGAAGTTCTACCTTGAGTCTAACTGGAATTCTCATACTGCCATGGAAGCAAGTTTCAGCCAGCCCCTGCAGTCCTCCAGCAGAGCAAGACTTGCCCACATGCTGGGGTGGTAGCCCCGGTGCAGACAGCTCCCACCTGACGCCAGCCATGCGGCCTCCATGCCTTCCTGTGGGCCCTGGGCACCCACGGGCCAGCCCAACCCATGGCCAGCACTGGAGCCCGTGGCCGGAACTGCACGTCGCTGGACCTCTAGTGGTTGGGAGCTCTTGGCGGAGAGGAGGGCTGTGGGGAGGCAGGACTTTGGGGAGGCCCACCTCATGGCTGGAACTGCTGAAGCCGGGAGACTCCTGTGGGGAGGAAGGTCTCTCCCAAGGCCCAGGAGCCAGTGGCTCGGGCTCGACCCACTTCCATGGGGTGGGGGCACCTCAAGTGTGGGATGCAGGTGGGGGTGACCAGCCATCTGGAAGGGAACAGGGGACATGGCAGCAGGGGTCAGGCCAGCAGGCCACGCAGTGCGTCTTGAGTCATCAGAACATCTGGGTCTGCGGAGCTCCCAGGTCCAAGGAACACACGGGAAGGAGGGCTGCAGCAGAGGCACTGCTTGTCTGAGAAGCCCCGGGGCAGGCCCTGCTGGTCTGGCAGGTCCACTCCCGAGGGAGGTGTCGGGGACTGCCTGGCCCTGCTGTTGCCCAGCTTCTGGGACCGGAGAACCTTCTGGGGTGACCCTGTCTGTGCTGTTGCCACTGTGGGCTGCCCTGACCCTGAGCCCCTAGCCTTCCGGTCAGCAGCCTTCTCACCCAGGTGGGCCATGAGCCTGTGGACCGAAACGTAAACCCACTGCCGTCCAGTCAATTCCAACTCATAGCAACCCCCACTGGGTTTCCGAGGGGGTAAATCTTTATGGAACTAGACTGTCTGGTCTTCCTTCCTCAGAGTGGCTGGTGGGTTTGAACCGCCAGCCTTCTGGTTAGTCAGAGGCCTTAGGCACTACGCCACCAGAGCCATAAGCCAGCGACTCAAAGTCCTTCCTTGGGTCTAACCTCAGTGCCTCTTGTTTCTTGGGCCCAGCAGGGCCTGGAATTTGAGCTTCCCCCCTCTGCTCTGGCCAATTTATCTGGATTCCAAGGAAGTGGGTCCAAGCAGTCTGGGTCTGTCCCTTCCAGGCCCTTTGGGCCTGGGCATCTATCTCTCTGGCACTTATCAGCTGCCCGCCTGCTGGCCGGGGGGACACGAAGCTGGTTAATGCTTAACTGGAAAGCTGGTCCCACAGGGCCTGCCTGCAGGGCTGGGCGGCAGGACTTCTGGGAGACTGGCTCTGTAGGATGCTTTGCTGTGTGTGCACATGCGTGTACACACGTGCACACATGTGCCCCATGCTGGTCAGACATGTGGGCTCCAGGACTGTGGGCCAGGAAGTCCCTTTGGGCATACCTTGTGGCCCCTGTGCAGGGCTCGGGTCTCCAAGTCTGACCAACCCAGGGTGACGGGGGGTTGGAAGAAGTGGTCAGAGCTGGAGGGGGCAGGAGCTGCCCAGTGCAGCCACATGCCAGGAGGGAGCCTGCTGGGGCACGAGCCTTCAGGGCTTTCTCGTGGGGGCGGTGTGCCCACCCGGGGCGAGAGCCGAGTGCTCCGTGTACCACGTGTGGCTCCTTGCTGACTTGTCAGAGGCATCTCAGAAGAGAGTCCTGTTGATCTTCTTCTGAAAAGGCTGCCTGAGACCCCTCTGGGCACAGCTCTGCTCCAACACACGCAGGGTCCGCGAGGTGCAGCTGGCTCGCCGGCCATGGGTTTAGCGGGCATGAGTGTGGGCATCTGGAGGCTCCATGCCCAGGCACCGGCCGTCTGGTTAGGGTGACCTAATCCCTATCGCCATGAATATTGGAGTGACTTGAACCCCTTATCACAAATATCAGGGTGCCTCGAACCCCATCATCATGAATATTGGGGTAACTCGAAGCCTGTCGCCACAAATATCAGGGTGACTTGAACCCTGTCACCATGGATATCAGGGTGCCTGGTGTCCCCATCACCATCGCCATAAATACATGGGCATCTGGTGCCCCACTCCTCCAAGTGTCCGGGTGGCATGTGGTGTGACTGAGGCACCTGTCTGAAGGCCAGGGTGGTGGAGCTGTTCCTGACTGTGTGAAGGCCCCATGTCACATGCCCGTGGCCTGAGTGTCAGTCTCTACTGCCACCTCCTCAGCCACCTGCCTCCTAGTCTGGCCTCGGGGACCAGCACCCCATACTGGGCATCTTGGCTCTGTGCCCCCTTGTCATTGTGGCCCTGGCCGAGCTGCACTGTCCTCAGGGTTTCAAGGTAGTCTGTGCGTCACACCCTCCCTCCAGGAACAGTCTCACAGCCAGTGGGTGTCTTCCAGGATGGCCAAGCCCCAGTGCAGACCTGGCATGGCTAGGTGCATGGGAGGGAAGGACATAGGAAAGAGGTAACTACAGGGAGAAAGTGGGAAAAGAGCTGGCACATTGTGGGGAATTGCAGTCAATGTCATAAAACAAAATGTATATGAACTGCTGTATGGAAAATGCATTTGCTCTGTAATGCATGGCTGGTGCTTGCAGCAGGGGCTGAGTGCCAGTGGGAACGCGAGTGGAGAACACAAAGTGCCCAGGGCCTCTCTGCAGACTCGCCTGGCTGGGACCCTGCTTCTGGGGGCCAGCGTCAGCACAGAAGCCTCCAGACTGGAACCCTACGTTTTCACCCTGGAACCCCCTGTGACCCACAGACTGTCCACAGGGCTAGCTGGGCCCCCGGAGGATCCAGGGACACCTGGGAAGGGGCTTCCGCTTCCTGGTCTCAGATCCTCCACCCAAAGCCCTAACCGAGAGGGTCAAGCCTTTGACCTCAGCCATCAAGGGCCACGTCGGAGCTGCCCCTGTGGCTGGGAGAGAGGCAGTGAGAACACTGGGGCACCGGCCAGCAGGAGGCAGGTCCTGAAACTGAACCTCCCTGCTGCTCTGCATGTCCTCGAGTTGAGCATCTGCCATGTCTCCTGTGTCTGTCACTTCCTTCCTCCCCTGCGGGCCCTAATCTGTCAATCGCCCACCTACCTTTCTCTCTGTCTGTGTCTCTCTATTTAGCATCTGTCACCTCTCCACGCAGCCATCCGTCTGTCCTCGCCATGTGAGTGTTTATCTTTCCATGCATTATGTATAAGTCCACTCACTTCTCAACGTATCTGTCCAATTATTTATATACACATAACATAGCCTTCCATCAATTCATTTAACCTTCAATCATTAAAGCATCCATCCATCCATATGCACCCATGGCTATCCATCTTTCTTTGCATTTCTCTATCAAGCAAGTGTCTATCCATCTGTCCATACTTCCATCCATCCATCCATCACCAATCCATCCATCTCTCCATTAATCTATCCATCCTTTCATCCAGCCATCCATCCACCCACCCAACCTGCCTTCCTTCCACTCGTCCGTCCACCCATCCATCTATCCATCCTTTCCATCCTTAATATCATATGCAAGTAGAATTTTGCTGATGATAATTCAAAAATGATTGCAGCAGTATATTGACAAAGAACTGCCATAAATTCAAGCTGGATGCAGATGAGAACAAGGAACGAGGGATATCATTGCTGATGCTAGACGGATCTTGGCTGAAAGCAAAGAATGCCAGAAAGATGTTTACCTGTGTCTTATTGACTTTGCAAAGACATTCGACTATGTGCATCATAACAAAGTGTAGATAACATTGAGAAGAATGGGCATTCCAGAATTCTAAATCGTGCTCATGAGGAATCTGTACATAGACCAGAAGGCTGTCATTCAAACAGAACAAGGGGACACTGCATGGTTCAAAGTCAGGAAGGGAGTGTGTCGGG